TATAATTATCATGTTCTTCGTATAATTATCATGTTCTTCGTATAATCATCATGTAATGTGAGATTTAATATGTTGTCCGATGAACACAGTATCATTTAAACATGTACACCTGAATAAAGGGCGAATCAAAGTTAAATTATTTCAAAAATATTTCAATTCACATATTTTAAAATGCACTATATGATGAAATATGTGAAGTATTATTTTAAGTAATTTATAGTATCACGATATAAATTTCATTATTCTTACAGCAGTCATCACCAACTTGTACCCAGCCTGTCGGACATTCACATCTATATGTACAAGAGCTGCAGACTAGGTCTGAACCACATGTGTCTGGTGAAGTATCACACGGGTCACATAGGCTTTCCCCAACTGAAACAAAAAATATAATTTACATTATCTGTTAATGTCCTCCTTATCATTTCTGAAATGTTTTTAATTATTTTTTTTTACATTTGGACATGGCGATACCTCATATAGCCCCCTTTGTTTCAGTAAATATCTTAAAACAGCTGTATTCATATGTATTTTTGTAACAAAGAACATGTCACTAGGCAAAAAGCCGCCTTAGCGCTAAAATTAAAAGCATATGATCCATTTGAATCATAGATAATATACCAACGCTGATATGATTATAAGCGGGGCGATACTTACAGCCGCCACACAACACTTTTAGGAGTTAATTAATTTTAAAAAGTGAGATATACTATTCAAATACTACTGCCAGGTTGCATACAGTCCGTTCTTTAGATAATGGGTAATAATATGAAGTGAGAAAGAATGTCTATTTATGTAAGTCATTAGAACTGTTGATAGTTATTGGAACAGTGTCTACAATGTTAAATTGTAATACATGAGTTTACTTCTTTTGAACATTGGAAGATAATTATATCGGATTAACCACTTACCACATCTTGTACCATTCCAAAAGTAAGGGTGGATGCAGTCACATATTGTTCCGTTACATGTGGCATAGTCGTCTACGCACGTGTTAAGCAAAGTTGTACACACCTCACCAACACGTGTACCGTCTGTGTTGAATGAAATTCATCAAAAATATATGAATATAGTGATATATGTTGAAAAAATAAAATAGTACTGATATGTTATTAATATATTATATAATAAAAGAATCATGTTAATTAATTATTTAATGAATATAGTGTGTATTTTACATTAATATGTTAAGTATCAGCATATTTGACCCAAAGTTCCTTGCATAACATAAACATATTACGCAACATTAACATATAACGAAACATTAACATATAAGGTAACTTGAACTTACAACATTCATCGGAAATTTGTACTTGGTTTGGTGGACATTCACATTTATATGTTTGTGAACTACAAACGAGATCATCATCACACGATAATTGCGGATCACATGGGTCACATAGATTTCCACCAACTGTTTAATATATTATATAGCAATTTTAATGCTGGCCGTATCAGATCTCAGTAAATGAAACATAAAAATTTTAGTTATTAATTAACACATAATTATCGTAAAAAGTTCATGCCATAAACCACTGAAATTTTAAATTTTGTATACATGTAATTAGTTTTATTTTGCATTCATTAAACAGATATTTTGTTTTGAAAATTACTCAACTGGATAGGACTTAATGGGAGATTGATAGAACTTGTTTCCCAACCCATTTGCTTTTTTTGTTCTATTTTGTGCATATTTGCATATATAAAGGCAATAAAGTATGATTAAACTAAATAGGAATTGTAATATTCCATACATATTTTTTCTGTAAATTAAATCAACGTTTTAATAGTGGAAAAATACCTAAAATCTTATTTTCAATAATTTTACCATACAGACTTGCTTAATATTAAAGTGTAACAGCAGAGCTACGAAAGGCAACATAATATACTAATAAAGCCTTTTATATTTAATTTTGTAAGGGAAGGCAAGGTTCTATACATTAATTCAATTAATTATTACCTTGAAAAGACCATTAAAATGCATAATCGTTGTATTCAGAATACAATTCAAATGTTTACTTGATATTTTTATCAGGTTTATTATAAAAATTATTAATAACTTGGTTATCAGCATGATAATTTACTCAGACTAACTACATGTAGTTCTTACCACAGCTTGAGCCATTCCAATGAAAGCCGGCTATACAGTCACACACTGTACCATTACAATCAGCATAATCGTCTATACACGTGTCCAATGCTGTCGTGCATACATCACCAACATGTGTACCATCTGTAAAATAAGACAGTAAGTCACTTTTTGGTAAAGTTAAGACAGTTGCCATGTGGAAACATTGCTTTTCTCGACCTTTTTTGTTGACCAGACAACGCTTCTCTAACTATATTTGCTACCAATTTGTCGAACATTGTACAGAGGTAACAACATAACCAAATAAATATGCCAAAATATTTAACAATGAGCTTAATAAAAATGTGAAAACCAAAATTTTCATAAATTATCATGTATCTTGAGGCATGCTACTATAAATAATATCAGTTTGTTGTTTTTTGAAGCAGACATTGTATTTTGGTTAATTAGTTCTTTTTGGATTTTAATCAAAAATCATTTCAAAATGTAAAAAAAATAATTTACATGGTTAAGTAAAATATTTTTCTTAAAAAAAATGAACATATTATTCCATTATATTTTCAACTTTATTATTTGATATAACATTTAAAAACGCATAAAATTTGAGCAATAAAATAAACATATTGAAATTAAACTTACAGCAAGCACCGTCATATTGCACTTCGTCAGGTGGACATTCGCACCTATAGGTGTCGGGGCTGCAAACTAAGTCATCACTACATGTAGAATCAGCGGTGTCACAGGGGTTACAGAGGTTTTCTCCGTCTGAAAACAATCACAAGTCGAACATAATACACGATTTTAATTTTCGGCCGTATGCTTTGTTTTGCCTCATCTCATTCCATGGGTAACAAATGTAGGTCAAAAGAATTCAAATACAGCAAAGCTACGGTAACAACATATAGGTGCTGTTGCGATTTGAGTTTTATACCAGATTGGATTATAAGAAAATATTTTTCAAGTTGGAGACCTCACAATTTAGCTAAAAAGAATCTAATAATCGGTTGAACTATGCTTTAAATATTTAATCAAAACATTAGAAAATCAATAAGACATCACAACTGTTTGAATTTCGAAATCTTTTTATTATTTTCGATATGCAAAGGCAGATTATTAAAAATTATAATTTGTGAATTATATTAAGTAATTACTGCATCTAGATCCGTTCCAATAATATCCAGCATCACAATCACAAATGGTTCCATTACAGCTAGCGTAACAATCAATGCACGTGTCCAAGGACGTTGTGCAAGGTTCTGTAACACGTGTACCATCTGCAAATAACGACGCATCGACTTCGTGAATGATGTCTTAGAATAGATTTTTTATAAAACGTTTCTTTCTTACTTACATTATATTAAGGGACATCTGATAAGGGAATTCACTTTAAATCACATGGTATAAATACTCTGATTTTTATTGAATTATTTTGTTTGAACATGTTATCAACGTTTCCCCATGGGCGAAAAGTTGTTTTGAATTTTTCATTTTATGCCTTGGATAATGCGCACAGGAACACATATGTCTTCCTTCACCACCAAAGCTAGATGCGTACACTTAAAAATAATTTGGAAAAAATACTATTCTATAACAGTATTTCACTACTATACTTCTTGAAAAAATAAAATAATGGTTTGAAATAAATATGTGTTACAGCAGTCGTCTGCAATTTGCACTTGACCCGTTGGACATTCACATCTGTTTGTGTCAGCGTTGCAAACTAGGTCACCTTCACATGTTGAATCTAAAGGATCGCATGGGTCACAAAGGTCAGGCCCACCTGTAAAAGGAAATTGCTGAACTTCAATAGCATACATAACGGGTTAACTTTAGCATATTTTGTCCAAAAAAGTGGGTAAGTTTAAGTCCAATTCCAGTCAATTATAATATCAGATCCGCATGCTTCGTTTGGCTTCTTATCTAACCTGACAACGCCCATCGAGTCACGTTATGATAATTCAGATGTTTATGACAGATCGAGATGTACCTATGCAAATATCTGACCAAACGAGTTTGATGTAAAACAGACGTTCTTTATAAGTTTAAAAATCATCGATGGCAAGAGAAGATATACGGAACTCGCCAAATGTGGGATTTTTTAAGCTAGGCTCATCGGTACAAACAAACTTTTACCGTGAAAGCTCCGCAATTCGCTACCGTTCTCAAAATATAAGTCAACCTATTGCACTTATTTTGGACGTTCTAACTGTGAATACTTGTTTGTAACCCGGATTACTTGGTAAAAACTCAAGAAATATTCAGTATATAAACAACATAATAGAAATCAATGTGTTTGATGGCGTTTGATCATTTTCATTTTGCAATTTTTATAGTCACAATACCTCAACAAAGTTAGTCTATATTTATGTAAAAACAATATTTATTTCTACCACAACTAGTGCCGTTCCAACTGAACCCATCTTGACATACACAAATGGTTCCATTACATATGGCATAGTCATCGATACATGTGTTCAGCTCCGTTGTACAGCTATCACCAACATGTGTTCCATCTGTAAAGAATGTAATATAAGCATTAGTAAATGGATAAAGTCTACATTGCAGCAATGATATATATATATCTAAGATTTCTAATCGTCAAATCATCAACAGCTGCAGAGTTCGCAGTACATGATGAACTGGACTTTCTGCTTTCGTAGACAACTTTCAATATACAGTTTTAACAAATTGTCCACTTTGAACCATATTAAGGTATTGCAGTGTAAAACATACATCTAAAATTGTATCTACTTAATAAACATTACACACATACAGTTCAAAACACAGACCGGGGATAAGAAGTAAATTTGACTAAAGATGTGCACAAAAAGCATCGAAAGCGCCTCCGGAGATGTAGAGTTTTTTATTTTTAGTACAAATTATATTGTATATATTTTGTTATGATACATACAACAGTCATCTCCTATTTGTACTTCGCCTGTGGGACATTCACATCTGTAAGTGGCTGGGTTGCATTCCAAGTCTTGGGAACACGTGTTGACTGCAGTGTCACATGGATCACACAGTTCGGTACCAACTATGATAAAAGGTACAACATGTGTTTTCAATAAACGAAATTAACATTATTAAATCAAAATATATGCATATCAATTAAAAAGTCAACACTATATACATATTCTACATGTATATTGACTAAACGTCATGTTTATCCTAGATCGGAATTATTTAGGGGTTATGCATAAATCGTGCCTATTAAAAATAAAGCTATACAGCATAATAGCCTAAGAAAAATAGTAAATGTAATTTATCATGCGTCGACAAACAGCTGATAAAGAACAATGCTATATCTATATGTAGTTTATGGAATTTTTTTCAGGGATTTCAACATCAAATGAATTACTTTATATAACACTAAATTTACATCGCATTTGAAAATTTGTATTAAACATGAATTTAAATGTGCAGTATTCAATTTTACCAGAAAATACAAAGCTTTAAACAGAAAACACATTTTTAAACTTTCCTGATGATAAAAAGGAAGAAATCAAATAAAAAAGGGGAAATGCTCTTACGGCAAACGGAACCGTTCCAACCGTAACCAGCTAGACAGTCGCAAATTGTCCCATTACATCCAGCATTGTCATCAATACATGTGTCCGGCGCAGTTGTACACGAATCTCCAACATGCGTCCCATCTACAACAAATGATTGACAAATAAATAATGTGTTTTGTTGTTGTTGTTGTTCTTTTTGCTTTTTCTTTTGGGGTCGAATGTCTGTTTGTTTTTTGTTGTTGTTTTTTTTATATTTTGTTGTTGTTATTGTTGATTTTGATCTTTGGTTTCTGTTTGTTTGTTTGTTTGTTGCTTTTTGGTCTTTTTTATTTTGTGTGTGTTTTTTTTTTTTTTTTTTTTTTTGTTTTGCTTTTGCCTTTTTAAGTTTTTTTGTGTTCACTCCTTTGTTTGTTTGTGTTTCTTTTTTTGTTTTATTAGAGTATTTTTTAAAATTATCTTGACTGAATAATCAGCAATAACTATCATTATGATAAAACTAGCATTTTTAAAGTAAACAATTTAAAACTGTATCAGTTCTTCAATCAAAGTATTTTTTCATTCGCAACGCTACTTTTATGGTGTCTCATTTAATATAGTGTATATTGTAATATATTTGACCATGTTTTAGACTTACAGCAATTATTTGCTACTTGAACTTCGTCATCAGGACATTCACATCTGTACGTTTCCGAACTACAAACAAGACCAAGTTGACATGTGTCATCTAACGGGTCACATGGGTGACACAAATCAAACCCAACTGAAAGAAATTACCAAATAAAACATCCAGTAAGAAAAGAGTATTGCCATGTCTGCCACTCAAAACTTGAGACTTGTATTATCTGTCTTACAAACATAATAAAATTAATTGTTTCAAGATGCATATCATTTCAAAACAATCCATTTGGACAAATAAGTGACAGTTTAGTCAAAAAGCTCACCCCCATCGAAACAATGCTTATTTGTGATAAGTAAAACGTTAATAGGATCAGCGGTTTGTTAGAAGGACCTTTAAAACAAAATCTGTGTTTAATTGTTTTTACCTTTAATGTATTAGTATTATTAAAAAGCAAACGGACATAAATATAAACTTTATTTCAACGATGTCTTGCCCTACATCTATACAGAACGTCTTCAAATGAGCCTGTTATTCGCCAACTACTTTACAATATTATGCCATTTTGTAATCATTTAAACGTTTACCTGTCCTAATATGCTCATAATTACTGTTTGATGTAAATCAGAACGTTATTTATTGATTATCCAAAAACTTACGACAAAAAGTGCCATTCCAAGTAAAACCAGTTATGCAGACACATGTTGTACCATTGCACACGGCGTTGTCGTCAATGCACGTGGATACCTCAGTCGTGCAAGATTCACCAACCAATCTTCCATCTGGAAGATATAACCTTGACAAAGTCAGTACATGTTATGTACGGTGAAATCAGTTAAAACTGAGTAATGCTACAATTTTATACTATATTGTTTATCACAGCAAAATTGTTTTCAATAAAATTCATTAAATATATTCAATTCTTCAGATGTGTACTTTGGGGTTTTCTTGTTTCAGAATGAAATTGACTAATTAAAGTATTTAAATAAAATACTTTCAAATAGCAGATTACATGTATGTCTCGAAATCATTCTAAAGATAAACTGGTTTGAACATATTTTTATTCAAGGTAATATATACATGTTAATAATTTACAATTTATGCAGAAAGGACTGATTTCACAGTTCATTTAGCTTATATTTGAATTACATTGCCCGATATTAATATTGATAGTTGCTCAAAAATATACAAGTTGTTGCTCAAGGATATACACGATTAAAATTCAATTAGTAAATATTGAGAATACCGAAAATGACCAGAATAATTGATATTTACAGCATTCATCTTCGATTTGAACAAAACCTGCAGGACATTCACATCTATATGTTGTGGCACTGCATTCCAAAGGTTCATCACACGTGGATGCTGCAGGGTCACATGGATCACAAAGATCTGGTCCAACTTTAAAAAGGAAGTAAAACATAGTATTTGCACCATAACTATGCTTATAAAATAACACAGCAAGGCGAAAAACTCAACTTAAAACTAAACGCTTGAAGTTATTGATTCAATTGAACTATTTTTTTAAAAAAAAAAACTTTTCTGGAAATATAAAATTGAATTTCACTGCAAAACTCTTACTTAATATTATAATATAAAAATTAAGTGATAATTGATTTTATGTTGTTTTTTTGTCCGAAATTTCATTTTAAATATATTTTCTAGATATTCATTTGAGCAAGTTATTTAGATTTTTGTATGCAATAGCCGATACTTCATATGTAACGATTGTAAATATATAATATGTCATTTACTGAACGTCGATTAATTGATATTTTTTACTTAGCAAACAATGCAATTAAACAGCAGACGAGATGTTATTTTTTTTGGTACAATAAACTTTTGGTAACGGTAAAATAAATTAATTCCGTCTGTTTAAACTCACCACAATGTGTCCCATTCCACGAAAATCCAGCAATACAGTCACAAACCGTACCGTTGCAATGAGCGTTATTGTCGATGCACGTGTCAAGATTTGTCGTGCACAACTCCGTAACACGTGTACCATCTGTAAAAGTGACGACAGAAAATAAAATTTAATGTTGTACAATATAAAATTTTATAACAATGTTTGATTTTATTTATGTTTAAAACAAACACTGATTAAGGTTCTGAACAACAGAGACTGAAGAAAATAAGGCATTTGATTGCAAGGTTCCAAACATATTTAGGGACACTTTGACAAGAAGTAAAATTTAATACAAGAAGTAAAATTTAATAACCTCTCTTTAGAATGAATTACCTGCTTAAATTATACATGAAAGAAGAAGCGCTACTTTACACGTATAATACAAATTGTAACATATCTCAATTCGATCTAATAGGTCATATTTATAGACGGCAGTGGTAGATGCTAGCTACCATTTACGCCCCAATTGCACCTTTTCTTAACAGATGCCTGTAAGGCATATATGGTGACGTTGAACATTTTTCTCGACTTGTTCAAAAGAAAATATTGGTTAGAAAAATAATTTGTCTAATTGTGAAAGTAATTATAGACTTACAGCATTCGCCTTCAATTTGAACTTCATCTGGTGGGCACTCACATCTGTATGTACTCGGATTGCAAACAAGATCGTCAGAACATGTGTTGTCATCAGGATCACAAGGGTTACATAAATCTTCTCCATCTATAACAAAAATAATTATAACAATAAAATTACATTCAAAATTAAAATAACAATTTGCGATATGATCAAGGACAAACGATCGAACGGATAACGATTAAAGAATCAATACGACTTGATATAGAAAACAAGACAACTAGTTTTGAGCTGTATGCCTTCAGATGAGGCAAAATATTTCATGAAGATTAAAAAAAATCAAGATTTTAAGAAGAGTAAAAATATTTATGATTCAAGTAATAATTGAATAATGGTATTTGCTATCATTAAAAACTGTTTTCAGCAGTATTTGTCACCATATTTTACTGCCTTACTTATGCAGTAAGACATATATTTTGCTTATTTTGACCTCTTTTTATCTGGATTGAAAGTGCTGTTTGCAGTGTGTAAAATATTTTTTGTTCACATTACCCTATTTTTAGTATTACATTTTTAAAATTTTCAAAAAATTAGCATGATTCTTGAGGCGTGCTCATTTAAAATTAAAAACTAACAGTATTGTACGTATGTTGAAAAGCATTGTTAATAAGATCCGCACCTGGTTAGTTTGAAAAAAGAGTATATGTCAACTATTCTAGATAAAAGTCACTGTAATGGTGATGGTTCTCATTCAAACCGACATTTCAGGTTAACTAGATAGGGCTGATATTACAACTGATTTTGAGAGTACAGTAATTATTGATTAGGAAGGTAACAGTTGTAGTGAAACATATATAGAGCAGACAGCTTACTGCATCTTGTCCCGTTCCAATGGTATCCTGGTAGACAGTTACATATTGTACCATTGCAGGCAGCAAAGTCATCAATGCATGTGTCTGTGCTTTGTGTACAGTCCTCTCCGACACGTGTTCCATCTGAAATTAAACAGTGTCAATCGTGTTTTCAAAACGCAACCCTTAACTTACTGATTTTTTTAAACGGCCCAATGGTTACCATTTTTGGAGCTATTCATTATCATTCATATAGATATATTTAAAATCAGCCGGCCAACGTTTGATTTTTTTCTTCACAATTTAAGAAAACAACAATTGAAATTGCAGTGGGTCGAAATATTTTGCACATTCTTGACGCTATAATTTCGTAATCAATCCGTGATGGCATTAAGATTCAACTAAATTTCTTATCTTATTTTATTATTTGTAAAACAATGATTTTTACTCTTTCAATAATTTGTGTAAACTGTTCAATCCTAGTAGAGAGAATTGCATACTGAATTGTTGCTGTCATAAAAAAAGCTTGAAACAGTCGGTGTACCGATACAAATAAATATAGCATTTTGCAAATATACAGGGAACACGTTTAATAGCCATGTAAAATGATTTTACAAAATATTAAGACATTCCATCTAACAGAAGCATGAATAAATGTAAATAATGATAACTTAATGAGTGTTCGAATGAATGTTTAGTGTCCATTTCAAAAAAAGTGAAATAACAACTTGAATACGCTTTTTTTGTTACTGTTCAACTTTGTGCTTTTTTAAAGTTTTTATCTTTCAGTACCAGGCACAAAAAATAACAACATAAATTGTACATATGAAAAAATGATAGTCGTTTGTTTGTCGTGTTGAGTTTCACGGCGAACCAATACAATAAATGTTATATGACTCCGAAGCAGGAAATATTGATTTTGTTAACCGTGGGTGTTTGCGAACTAAAAGCAAGGCCAGGGACGAACCATATCACCTTTTGGTGCTAAGAGAGGCATAGACACCAGTCATTCGAACCTATTAATTCGCCTCTTACGATCACGCACGGATAAACGGTGGCTGCAAATCTGATGGTTCAACCCTTAAATACAACGCCTCAGTTATAAGGATTATGATAGACGTACTATAATAAGAAAGCTTGAAGTAAATGTAAACTTACAGCACTCATCACCAATCTGTACTTCACCCGTGGGACATTCACATCTATATGTGCTCGAGCTGCACTCTAGATCCGATCTACATGTTGATGATAACGGGTCACATGGGTCACATGTATTTTCTCCTACTAGAAATGTCAATTACATGGTAAGTCATATTTCATTGCAGTAAACTATCTGTCTTAATTAGGCTTATTCAAAAGTCAACAAGCCCAATACATGACAAAAAACATAGATTCTACAAAATTAATGTGAATTAAATTGTTGGAAAAAAATATGAAGAAATATATATCAAATTTGACAGTGCATGCATATCTTTTATATACATCTTTTTTTTTTCAAAATAATTTGTATATATGTCGTCCTATTCAACTATTTTATTTAAGACATTTTAAGTCAAAGCTTAGAGGTCTTACCACATCTTTTTTATTTAATACACAAAGTTAAGAGGTCTTACAAATTCATTTTTATTTACAGACGAAGCTTAGAGGTATTACCACATCTTTTTAATTTAATACACAAAGTGAAGCAATCTAACAAATTCATTTTTATTAAATAGACAAAGCTTTGTGGTCTTACAACATATTGATCCATTCCAATGATACCCATCATTGCAATCACACACTGTACCATTACATCCAGCATTATCATCAATACAAGTATCTAAACTTGGTAAACATGGATCCCCTACGTCTGTCCCATCTGAATTGTTCCAAATTATTATCATTTAGTTAAACATAAGAAATAATTACTTTTCTAATGAAGTTACTGATAGAACTCCGAGCAAATGCCATAAGTAGTCATGATTCGCTGATATTAAACCATTAGTCCGTGTGTGAGCTATTTTATACCTCCACAAAATTCTTTCTACGGAGAAATTTAGGCTGATTTAAGAGAGAATGCAAATGTTGTCTTTGTTAAATGCATTCACGAAACAAACAAGAAATACACAGAAATGCACGACTGTTTTTTTTCTCCATTATGAAAACTGTGAAAAGGTACCATGACATTGTTGGCGATTAAAAAAAAAATATTTCGCCATTGCTTTGTGATGGATTATGGTAGCGTACCACATTGAGTAAAAGAACAAGTGATATTTTTTACGTGTTATGAGGTTCAAATATATAATAGTTACTTACAACATCCGTCCGCGATCTGTACTTCGTCGACTGGACATTCACATCTATATGTGTTTGAGCTACAGATAAGTTCTGGATCACATGTATTTGCATCCGGATCACATGGCTCACACAGGTTCTCTCCGCCTTACAAGTTAAGATAAGTTCAAGTTTATTACAAATCAATTAAAATATTTTATTTTAATGAACAATTTTTTCATTTATGAAGCAAACACAACTGACATTATTGACATCATATATACAGTGTTTTATCCTTATTCATATAAAGTCATGTTATTTCGCTTGTTTTGTCTCTTGAATGTCATATGAAAATAATGGACAATTACCTATAATTACATTTCTATACATATAAAAAGTAAAAATATACTATATCGAAATGAAACCTAAAAGGAGCAAGAAAGAAAAAAACGGCAACATCGAAATACTGAAGACTAGGTTTTATTAAACCAGTTGATGGACTTAAATTGTAAATTAAAGTTTCAACCTGGCTTAAGCAGACCTTGACATTTATCATAAATTCGACGATAAATTGATGATAAAGTGAAAAATGTTAATTTGAAAATGGTGAAATACTTTGCATTAAGAATTATATAACACTCAAAAAGAACATTGGGTCTGAAACTTACAGCTATGAAGAGCATGTTCCATAAAATGTCAAAGGTATAGCAACATAAAGAAAAACATTTCTTCTCTATAATATCCTGAATTTGTTACCGATGGAACTGTGTAAAATGTTTGAAAATCAACAGGACAATTGAGTACTTTGTACTTACATTTATGATGCAAACAAACGGTAAATTATACAAATAGCCAAAGTGTATATTTACCACAAAACGATCCATTCCAGTGAAAGCCTTGTAAACAATTACAAATTGTTCCATTACAGCCAGCATTATCATCTATACATGTGTCGACAACAGTTGTACATGGTTCTGTTACAAGAGTCCCATCTGAACAACGAATACAAATAAAACTTTAGCATTCATGACTGATCCCTGTTATTGAAAAAAAAAATCAGATTCCACGGATACTAATTAGTTCAAAAGCATCTTAACTCATTATTTCAAATAAACTTATTATAGTATTTTATGACTTTATTTAGTAACACGTTACATAGAAACAATACAATGATATTGTGAAGTTACAAAAAAGCATCGGAAAAAAAGTAAAACAATTTCAAAATATTAAGATAAGAAAACTGGTTTGAATATGAAGATATGTTGCTAAGAAAAACAAAAGTGTGTATGATATCAAAATGAAATCATCACAAAACGTCTAATGACAAACAAAAGTGTAAAACTGTTACATACAAGTTAAACTTTATTAAGGTACTCTTACATACAATTAAAAGAAACAATCTAGCATTTGAATGACATAGTGTTTAATCAACGATTAACAATGATGTAGGAAAACAATAGAAAACGTTAAATGACAAAAATGCAAAGCAAGTGTATACTTACAAAAACACAGTAAAATATACATTTGAAAAGAAAGCTATAAAATTAATATTTACAGCAATTGTCTCCTATTTGTACTTGTCCTGTTGGACATTCACATTTGTATGTGTCAGAACTGCACACAAGCTCTCCATCACATATATCTTCATCAGGATCACATCGGTCACATAGCTCTGTTCCAACTGCAAAATCATTACATACTCGTATATACAACTGCAATTGATTCATCGTGCTAGAGGAAGGTTGGTGTGGCAAAGGGTAACTCACCATGGAGATAATGTTTAAGAAATATTGGTTTGATCCAACGCAACTTAAAGAAACCTTTATCTTGTGTATGTTGCGGGTGTCTGAACAATGTCATTGTATCCTTTTTTTTCTTGAGAACACATATTGAAATACGTCTAATGATAAATATTTTACATAATTATGAAAGCTTAAAATATATGAAGTTTGAAATTATGAAATTGGTTGGAAAGTGTATGGAATTTGGACTTACGACAAAATGTTCCGTTCCAATGGTATGGTGGTATACAATCGCATATAGTACCATTGCAAAAGGCATGGTCATCAATGCACGTGTCTGTATCCGTTGTACATGGCTCGGTAACACGTGTACCATCTGTGCAAATACAAGGAAATAAATTGAAGAGTATCTTATTTTTTCATACTTTGTCATTTTCATTTCGTTTACTTTCCACAAAATTTTCCCTAACAATGTGCCTATAAAATTGTTTCCTATTTGTATAATTTTCTTTTTAATATAAAAACTAAAATCATTTTTATACTATTATGTCTTCTTTTAAAAGGGTCTGCATACTAGAAGCAAAGTGATTTTGAATGTGTTACCTTTTTAATTTTTAAATGCTTTACTTGTTATACTTATTCTGTACATAAGAGAGAGACTATTTAGTATATTTAATTCATACGCAAAAATATACTTGTTACTTTGGTGAAAATTTCACATGACAACGTTGGCTAATGTGTGTTATAATCAAGACAAGATTGTGATGTTTGATTGATACATGTTATTACCAATTATAATCTAGCACATAATATTGTTTTTGCTGGGTAGTATGTCGTGCCGGCACAGTAGAGGTCATACGACTTTCAGCTATACTGGTGGTGGAAGCCTGCCGTAGAACCACCAACATACCTTGAGCTAGCAGACTAACTTCCTCAAATGAATTATATTAATCTAAAGTCCCTACAGCGTTGAGGTCAAGTGGTTTGAAGTCAAACTGCTTTTATTTAAATAAAATGTTAGTTCCATTATTTTTTTTAAATTTTACTAGAATCGTTTTATTTTAGTAAAAACAAAAGATGAGTGACTATGAGGTAGTTAACATTTTATAATTCCTACGGATTACATTAGTGATAAAATACTATAGTAACAAGTTTTCAATAGAATTTTAATCTAGTTTTAAGCATATTTGTTAATTGTTTGGAATTGTCAACATTATTAACAAACAAAATATTACTAATAAAAGAGTATTACAGCAATTATCTGACACTTGTACTCGGTTGTTTGGACATTCACATCTGTACGTTGTGTCATCACATACCAGGTCAGAATTACAAGATTCCGTTTGTGGATCACAGGGATCACAAAGGTTCGGACCAACTGACAAGAACAAAAGAAAAAGAATAAGATTAAATCAATTTTTTTACACATGTATATTTCATAAAATACTTATATTTCTTGATGGTATGTTTGAAAATGCATTTTGTGTTTATAATAAATATTACATTTTTGCTAAAACCTTCAAAAAGCTAATATAGAAAGAAACCTAAATTGTACCACCAATTATTTATAAAAAAAGAATCATTTTCGTATAGCAGTTGAATTGGCACAAAAAAGGTAAACATATAAAATACCTGTAAAAGGTAAGTAAAACTATGCATGATATGTGACAAAATGAATATATATACATACACTAATTAAGCAACTCTGCGCCTTTGTGCAAAATATTAAAAGTATTTACCACAAATAGTTCCGTTCCAAATGAAACCAGATATGCAGTTACAAATTGTTCCATTGCATTCAGCATAATTGTCAACGCAGGTGTTGACAACATTCGTACATCTATCCCCAACTCTTGTCCCATCTTCTCGTTCAAAATAAATTGAGGTTATAAATCAATCATTTGAAATTAGGTTGTAGTGAAGGTGAATATTAATACAAACAAGAATTGGTAAACAAATATCTTTATTTATGTATTTTTCTATTCATTTACCTGTTATGATTTCCTTCTCTGTCTCCATGTACTTGTCTTTTTATATCAATATTTTTAGGGCAAGTCACAAACGAAATTGCTGCGGTAGTACATATACTCTCGTGAATTCCAAGTGGCTTACTGCCATGATCCCGAGGGCATTATCTATTGTCACAGTGGCTTACTGCCATGATCCCGAGGGCATTATCTATTGTCACAGTGGCTTACTGCCATGATCCCGAGGGCATTATCTATTGTCACAGTGGCTTACTGCCATGATCCCGAGGGCATTATCTATTGTCACAGTGGCTTACTGCCATGATCCCGAGGGCATTATCTATTGTCACAGTGGCTTACTGCCATGATCCCGAGGGCATTATCTATTGTCACATTGATAATGACGTTGTGACTATAAAAATCTGTTTATATCTCTCACATCTGATAGAATATCATAAAACCAAGCTATTTGTGTAAATTGAATTTGTATGTTACAGTCTCAGTAAAGCTTTTTCAAAATAAGAAAAGTGTCGGATTTGTAATTCGGATGCTGCTGATTGTTCCTCGTGCAAGGCGGCCGTTTTTTGGCATGGCAATAATTAATCTAGGACATTGAGGCTAAAGGTCATTGGGTTTCTGATTTATAAATCGTGTCGGATTAGTAGCTGGTCACTTGTATAAAAGTTTATTTAGAAATAACTGGTATGTTTTTTGTTTTTTGTTTTTTTTTTTTTTTAAAAGCCAGTTATATGGACCAACCGCCGATCTAAAGATTTATGTTGAACTTCAGTATTTCGAGCATACTCACAAGTTATAATGAAACCTTTTATATGACACCTGTTTGTCTGTCTATATGAAATACAAAAAGTAAACTTTACAAACTTAATATGAATAGA